ATTTACAACATTTCTATCCAAGCCTCATTGCGTTTCAGTTTGTGATCCCTATGAAAGCATTGCAAGTCTCTAAAATATTCCCCCAAATGTTAAAAACATCTGAAGGGTGCGTCTATGGCTGCTGGGGTTCACCCTCAGGTTCAGAAAGGTGATGGAGGGAGGGGGCCCCTCACCAGCACCTTGGCTTGGTCCGTGATCCCTCTTTTCGGTTTTCTCTCTGTGTTCTGCATGCAGCTCCCTTCTGCCGGGTGCATAGCCAGTTCTTCTGAAAGCAGCTGGTTTTCAGTCATAGAATTTGTGAAGGCCCACGCTTTCTCTGTGTGACATACATCTCTTGCTTCCAAACAAACATCTCACTGTACCAGGGGTCATATAAAACTGCTGGCCAGCACACTGGAGCTGCTCCCAACTTTCATTGGTGTATGCAGATCTCTTATCAGTGGGTGGTGCCTCCAGACTGACAGGATATAGAGGGATGAGTGATGCAGGGAAAGGAAGGGGCCGGATTATGGGTCCCCACTATACCCTTCTTATTTTGGGTTGCCTACTCTATACTACTTCTTACGGGTTTCCTACTATTATACAACTTCTTATTTGTCCAGTCCTTAGTCTTCCTAACCTGTTAGCAGGGTTGCATCAGGCTTGTTGGTCTCTGAGAGTGAATCTTATCTGACTGGCATTATGCTTGAGGAAAAGGCTCAGAGAGGTTTGGAGATTGTGCAAGATCACACAGCGGTCTGTTCTCCCAGTCACCTGCCTCAGTGGCCTATCCCTCACACTTTCACAGGTAGCACTTGTACTAATTCATTCATAAAATTATACACTTGATAACTTAACAACCAATTCACTGCTTTGTTAGAGCGTATTATTACCATAGATAAGGAACTGCAACAATCTTACATCCTCAGGGGGCTAATTGAGCAAAGAATACCCTGAGAAGACATAAGACTTGTTATTAAGCGCCAGCTTGACGTCACTGCCAGGTTTGTGTGGCAGTTGCTGGGGATGTCACTTAGCCAGGCTGGTACCCAAACATCACCTGGCCCAATCAGAGAAAAGGGCGGGAAACTGAGAAGTGCTTCCTGTTGGGTGAGCATGTTCCTCCTGCCACACCAGGGTGCCATCGCGTGAGCCCATTGCTCCCACTGTGCGGTGCTGTGGACTGTGTGAGGGCCACTCCATCTCACACCTGGCACAGTGGTGAGCCCTTTGTGGAGGGAACTTCTTCCTCCTCTCCTCCTCCCATGTATGAATGGCTATAAAATGACTGTTCATCGTAGCCCTACAGTGGAAACGATGTGTAAGCCCCCTTCAGTAGGCAGGTGCAGAGGCGCAGTGCAACACACACATGCAATGGAGTATCGTTTGCTCATAGGAGGACGTGGAACACAGACACTTGCTACAGTGTGAACAAGCCATGCGAGGTGCTAAGTGTAAGAAACCATCTGTAAAAGAATGTGCGCTTTGCTGGTCCATTCATGTGGAATCCCGACACAGAGAGCTCTCGAGACAGAAAGTACATGAATGGTTTCTTGAAGCTGGGTAGCAGGAGGGGCTTGCAGATGTGTAATACCTGATGGGTGCTGTTTCTTTTTTTAAAAACATCATTTTTATTAATTCTTAGAGAAATTTGTAATGCATACAGTGTATTTTTTTTTATCATATTTAGTTACCACTCCCAACCCTAACATTCCTACATCCACCCTACCCATAGCCCTTCCCAACTTTGTGTTTTATTTTATTTTTAAATAACCCATCTTTTATTTTTTAATAACCCACAGAGTCCCGTTTCTGCTGTCAATATAATCATGAGTGTTTGGACATCTACTGGAGCCTAGTCAACCTGCTAGGGCCCACACCCTTAGAGAACACTAACTGTTTCTGCCCCAGAAGCCGTCAACTGTCAACAGTTCTTCAGCTAGAGGTGGGTCTTCTAAACTCCTGCTCTTCAGGGTGGGAAGGGATGAGTAGCTTGTCCAGAGGAATGATAGAGACTGGAAAAGGGAGGGACAGCATTGGAACCATGGAGTCTGAGGTCGTTTAAAGTTATTGGCCAGGCTGGATGAGTCTGAGGCTCAACTGAAGAGCTCGAGGGGTGTGGGGATATAAAGCTGAGAACTGGCTCCTACAGGATCGAGTCTGTTCCTTCTTAAATGTGACCTTAAATAAGAAATAGGATCTTTGCAGATAGGACTTAAGATTAAAATATCCTGGATTATTGACGTGGGGCCTAGAATTCAGTGGCAAGTGTCTTTTAAAGAGACACGAAGAGGTGGTAATGCAGTGAGAAGTGGCCATGTGGGGATTCAGCCCCGATCCAAGGGATGCCTGGGACGCAGGACGCTGGGAGAAGCAATAAATGGGCTTACATTTGCTTGCTGCACCGTGATGCTGGTTTCTGACTTCTGGGTACAGCACCTATAAGACGGCAAATGTCTGTTGTTTAGATGCCTAGTTTACAGTAACGTTACAGAAAGCCAGAATATCTGGGAAATTACCA